ATATATAATATATATTATCTATTACATATGTATCATACATTATTTTATGTATTATCTATTTTATAACATAATAAATATAATAATACGTATAATAATGGATTTTTCATTACAGAAATACATTTAACAGTATATAACAGTGGATCCCACAGCCCCTGGGCAGTTTGTTCCCAAGCCTCTCCTCCAGAAAGGCATTCCTGCAGCCCCTGAGGGAGGAACTGGGAACTCTCTGGTGCACCCCTGCCCAGCAGGGCAGGCAGGCACAGGGAGTGACAGGGCTGAGAGGCCAGGCAGGGCTGGTAACACTCTCCAGAGGGATATTTTAAGGGGATGGGAGCAGGAATGAGCACGGCACTGACAGGAACTGGGCAGGCTGTGGGCATGCAGGGACACCTACTGTTTGGCCTGGTTCACGTGGACGCCCAGCGTGTAGCTCAGCCATTTGTAGGTCACCTGGAGAAGGAAAAAACCCAAAAAGCACTTCAGTGAGGAAACCTTGGCCTGTCAGTTTGATCAGAAATCCTGAGACACCCCTCCCTTCCACGGCAGGAGTGAGAGCCCGTGGACACCCGTGCCTCACCGAGCACTGTGAACTGTCCCAAAAGGTGTGGGGGGGATTTCTGCCCCTCTCCTGGCCTGGAACACCACCGTGCCAATCTCGGGATGTCAGGGCTGCAGTCCCAGCCCTGCCATTCTGAGCAGGTACATCCCTGACACCTGCTCTGCCTTTCAAACCACGCCCCAGGCTCCGGGCTGCAAACAACAATTTAACTCTTATTTGTCTACATTGTTCCTGGAGCAAGCCACAAAGCCACAGGCTGGGAACGTTCACATTGTCAGGCAAGTTGCACCAACTTAAACGTACCACTTTCTGGGCAAAACCCATTTCAATTTCATTTCAATTTCGTTTCATTATTCATTTCATTTCCAAATGAATTTTTGAAAAACTTGGAAAGGAACAAACCCATGCAGAAAACCGGTTAAGGAAGGGGGGAAGACAGGGGGAGAAGGGAGAGGGAAGTGGGGAGGAAGAAGGAAGGGAAAAGGAGGAGGAAAAGGGGGAGAAAGAAGAGAAGTGTGAATGTAAAGAGGCGAGAAGGAGAAGGAAAGGGAAGGTGGAAGAAGGAGGGGAGAAGGAAAGGGGAAGGTGAGAAGGAATGGGGAAGAAGGAAAGGGAAGGAGGAGAAGGAAAGGGGAAAGAGAAGGAATGGGGAAAGAG